CATAATTTACAAAAAAAATGACCCTAAACTTTAAATGACAATTATAGATTTTAAAGCTTCAATGTTTGATAAACAACAGTACACAAAATAAGTTGACAATTCTTAAAACTTTATTTTAAGACTTTCTCTGAGATTATCTTCAATTGAAACTCTCAAGCTCTGTTTGCTATTTACATTTTTCTCTTGAAAGTCTGCAGTAAAAACATGAACATGGATGCAACTGCTTTGAAGGTTAGTGGGGTTAGGAAAGAATACTTGGATAACAAAGTTCAAATAGTGTAAATTCTTCATGGAATCTGTATAAGACATCTTGATAAACTCCCAGATGAGCCAGCTATTACTGAAAAATTACTTGAAATTGACAAACTCATGAAGGGAGAAAGTGGGAAGTACAAAATCACTCTTGTCCATATTATTTTTAACTTAATATTTTATTGAAAAAAATTCATTCACATGAATACAAATCATTTCTGAACTTTAAATGCCATTGTAAATATAGAATTTTTTTCTTTCTTCTTTTCAGCTTGTCTTTACAGTTGGCCAATTGCTAGTGTTTATAAAACTGGAGAAATTACTTTCAATTCTATGATAGGTAACAGTTTTTCAGATACTTTTGTATGTACAGACCCAAACCTTATACCAGAATTTCTTTACCCCCCCCCCCTCTCTCTCATTTTCAATGCATTTTTTACATTCTATGAGAGTCTGGTTCTCAAGAACAGTGAGCCTAGGCAGTTTATTCATAATTTTATTTCTGATTATAATTTAAAAAAACAAACTTGGTCATGATTTGTCATTAAGAAAATTTGACTTTTGTCAGGAGTTTCACTGTGGAAAGAGAGGGTAGTAAAAGTGGTTATTTCAATATTAGGATAGTTTTTATATAATGAAACCTCACAAGTCAAACCAACTTGTAAAGAAAATATGACTAAAAATATCACATGCAGTTTAAATAAGGCAGCATATTTTCTTTATTGGGCAATGTATAAAATGAAAAATTTGTCAATGTACAAAAACAGTTGGCATGTGTGTTGATCTACTCAATACATGTAATTGGATTATTCACCACCCACCATTTGATTCATTAATGTTTTGTTTTTAAACAGGAATTTTTGATGACCAGTTTAAAAACTCATGCACACTAGGAACACTTAAAATAAAAAAGTTAGTTTGAACAAAATCTTACAAAATTTATTACAAAAGTATTTCAAATAAACTTAGATCAATTGAATAACACTTAGATCTCTCATTTCTTGATAAAATAAAATGCAGATAAGGTTACTTACTCAAGATTAGAATGTCTTGTGCCTTTCAGTTTTTTTGTTTTTTAGCTGTTTCACATGTACTTTATATTTTCAAGTTATTCTGTTTCCTGTTTCTTAGCTAATGTGCCATGAAGTACAAGTTTAGCTGAGGTAGAAAAATAGTGAAACTGAAAAAAAAACAACTATTTGATCAAGTAGAGAACTTTTCAGCAACTCTCTCTTATATAATTATTTTCTTGAAAGCTTAGCCTTTTACTCTATAGCAGATTATCTACAAGTGTACTTTTTGTGGGAACATCACTCATAGGCTTAATTTTGTAAGTTTTCTGTTTTGGATCCAGGTATCAAATTCTGGAGCTGCTATCTGAAGACTTGTATTACACAATCCCCTGGAAAGATATAAATTTGAACCACCAAGCTTATTTGAGTGATATATATCTCTACAAATGTAGATATTTGTTTATTATAGCTGTATAACTTTGATATTTTTTTTTGTGTGCATATTCCATGATCAGATAGGTTTATTGCTTTGAAATGTTAGAATTTTTTTTTTTTTTTTCATCTATATAATCTGAGGTCTACTTTTTTCTTTTGCTTGTATAAACACAATATTCATACTCCTCAGCAATTCGTACATCTGATGAGTGATAAACTTAGATAAGACTGTTAATTTAAGATATACATGAAGCCCTCTCTACTCACACCTTTTTCTAGTGAATTTTGCTCCCCCTCACTCCGTAATGTAGATCAAAGACTATCCCTACCAAAAGTAGGTTTAAACAAATATTGGAATCATTTTCTATAAAATGTCACTTTTCCTAATTAAGTCTTTCTTCAATAATTGATATGTTAAACTCTACATTTTTTTCAAATCTAAACTGAATGGTAAAAAATGAGTAAAATGTTTACCTGATATATGACTGGTTGATTTCTTGTCTATGGTTTCCAAAATTTGTGCCTTGTGGTTTTTCTGTTCAAAAGCATCCATTTTCTGCTTTTTAAAAGTATTCGTCATAACTAGTAGGATCACAAACTTTTCAATTTAGGACTAAGATATTAAAGAAATTCTTATTTTACGATTACTTTAAATAATAATTTAAGGATTTATGAATTTTTGATTCTGAAAAAAAATTCAAGAATTTCATTAAATACAATATTTATGAAAATTATTCCTCTTCAGATGTGATATTCTCACTTTACTTTTATTTGCTATATATAAAAAATATTTTGTATTTCGCCATATAACTTAAGTCAAGTATAGGTGAACATTCTGAAAAGACCAGTACTCTCTTTTTTTTTTTTCTATTTTTTTTTTTTTTTTTTGGTCATTGAATGCCAAAGGCATTTTCTCTTCTGCATCAAGAGCTATATTTTTGAATAAGCTGACATTAAACAATAATGCATTTAACAAGAAAGGAGGAAATGTTACATAGACCATGATACAAAGCAATATGAACAAGTTTATTAATATATAGATTGTGTATGGCCGTTAAAATATTTTTTCCATATGTAGCTACATTCTAGTATTGTGCATATAGAAAAAAAAAAACTACCAAATGGACAATTTTGTAAGTTTTTCTGTTAAGCCATAACTTGGAAATTTAAAAGTTGAAATAAAATCTTTAAATCAATGATCATTTATTTTTATTATACATTTAAAATGTGGAATTAATGTTTAAGTTAATCAGTACCACAGGTTTTATTAATAAGCCTAAGGTTTTGAGTTGTTTATAAAAATGTACAGGAGGAGGCTAACATGACAACCTCACAAAGTGAGGATGTTTTAAGGCACTTTGTCTATTTGTAACTTATTAACTTTGCAGATTTAACTTTGTGTGTTATGAATTTCTTGCAAAAGTTACCATATAATGATCTACAGCTATGCAGATACGTTGCTTTAATGATTATAACCAATCATAGTTAATTCAAATAACTTGTAAGAGAATAGTTTAAAGAATTGATTAGAATAAAATTGCTTGACAATTTTTCAATATTAAAAAATTGTGCAAATAAAAACTTGACAAACTCATTTAAAATCCAAATATGTTAGTCTTACATTTTGAAGATGGCTGATAATATTTAGCAATTCTTTCTGGTTCATATCTTTGTATTCCTCTAAAACAAAAGAGCCATGAAATCAATATTAAATAAAGAGGCAAGAAGAGTAAGAATATGCTTCTTTGTACAATATTTTTTTTTTTTTAAGTGGGTCATGCAGGAACTTCTCAGTACCTTGGTTTAAAAAAAAAAAAATGTATTTTGTATATTAATATTCCAAAGGCTAAATTTATCCCAAACATGCAAGATTATGTAAATCTGACTTCAGCAATTTTCTAGTCTTTGTTATTTAACAAAGAAATGTTCCATGTTTGCAAATATACAAAAAACACAAATCTACTACAGCTTAGAATCTCAATCACTACCCATGATAAGGATTTATTAAATTACTTTAATAGCAAAAAATCTACTGTAAAACCAGTTTTATTTTCATAATTTTCTCTAAATGTGATTAATAAAAGTATTGATTCTTTGACTACATCAGCAAATGGTTTAAAATGGAACTGTAATAGATAATATGCATACCAACAGAAATGACTAAAAAATTGTTTTAGTGGCTTGATATCAAATTCTAATGTATGATGGGTAAATTATCGCCATTTTTAATTTTGTGCATGCATGTTTGTTTTTGATTTTGTTGACTGCACAGTATAATAGTCACTTTGACACCATTTGTGAGAAAAAGAGCACCATGACAATTCACTCTGCCAGAAATTTGGAAGTGCTTGGCATTTGTGCTGGAAGCTCCAATATGAACATTTCAGCATGTTTGGGTGTCAATCTGAGGACAGTGTAGAGGATTCAGAAAGAGTTGGATGTGTCTAATGGTGATTACAAAGATGTTTGGAGTGATTGCTAATGATGGTGACATTATGTCACCATTCATCTTCCCACAAGGTTTCAGATCCAACACTCAGAGCTACATTACGTGCCTTGAGGCAGTAGTGCTATCCTGGGTCAAGAGGGGGTGGCTGTTGGAAGACCCTATGTCTGGCAACAGGAGTCTGCACCATGCCACACAAGCAGAACACAGTCATAGCCTTTTCTGTGTTTGGTTGGATATGACCATAAGGCAAAAGAGTTTTAAAATCAGGGTTTTCCTTCTCTTCAGTGGTCTGTCTTTTTGGGCTTTCAAGCACCATCAAACCAAACAGCTGGCTATGAGGTGCCGGTTATCTGCCTTTGTTCATTCTCCATCTTGGAGTTGGACTCGGTTTTCGGAGGCTATTTGAGACATGTCAAAGAAACATTTTATGGAAAACGAGAGTTTATAACTAGCCATGTAATTAATAAACTCTTCTAAAATAAACAAAAAATTTGTGTAATTTTAAGACATCCACAGACTTGTTAAATAGTATGAAAATTTCTTTTTTGTGGACCTATCAATTCTTTTCAGTGTTCCTTTTCATATAGAATGAATAGATAAAAATTTGTTGCTTTTCATGAAGTAAAAAAGTTTTTGCTAGATTTGAGACCCATATGCTTAATAAAAAAAAATCAATGGTAATCAAGATTGTAACTGAAAACTTAATATTTAAAGTGATCATTTAAGAAGAAAACTAGTTCTTAAAGTAACTGTCTAACATCATAAGAGGAAACTGACTTGACTGATAGTTTGATAATAGTTGCTTGCAATGGTCTGTTAGTTTTTTAACCTTTTTCTGATGAAAGTTGCATTCAGATAGTTGAAGTCCTGAATGTAATAAAGAAGGCTGGAGAAAAAAAACAAAGATAAGGATACTTATCTGCATAAACCAAGTCAATATAGATACTTTAGATTAATAACTTCATAAATATACCAAATAAGTGATTTGGTAGGAAATGTATATATAAAAAAAATAAGTGTGTGTGTAGAGATATTATATATATATATATATATATATATATATATATATATATATAATCTTATGCATATCCAGAATAAATCAAACACTACTCTTGATTGCATGACCTTATATACTTGACAATAAACAAATTTGACAAAAAAAAAAAACTAAATCAAAAAGATTTTTTTTTACTATCAGAAGCTGTTTCTGTTTTGTTCTGTTCAATTGTGTCTAAAGCATTTTCCAAGTCTTTTTTCAAGGCTTGATTTTCACTTTGCAGCTGTTCAACATTTTGGTTCAGATGTAAAATTGTTTCACTCAAGGTTTTAACTTTGCTCTGGATGGATTTCCCTTTTGCAGTTCTGAAATTTCAAAAAAAAATATTTAAAAATAAAAAACATGAGAACTTAACGCTTTCTTCAGTCATTTTCATGGGTTATGTCTTCTGATTGATTAATCATAGACAAGCACAAGTAAAGGTAGGAGACACATTAGTAAATCAATGTCTGTAATCTAATGATAAAATATATTTTTCTTTTTTTAACAATCTCATTCCCTGTTAATGTTTTTAATTCAGATAGATTCAATATTATCCAGTGAAAATTTCAGATTGAAATTCAGGTTACAGATTTATTGATTTAACCTCATATATTAACACAAATTTTATCAAAATAAATTTGGGATAGGTTTATTCTCACTCTACTTCTTTCTATGACAGAAATTTCATCCATAGAGATGCACTCTTTACATGGAACAGTCATTTAACAGTTTTTATTCAAGTTGTCTTTGACCTTGACAGCATAAAGTGGGGAAAAACAACATGCAATTTTTATACATTAATTAATGACAGCTGTATAGGAAAAAAAAATCAGTACAGGATTATAGAAATCCTGAAAATACAAATCATTTTATTTAAGCTTGATGTTTTAAATATATATTTTATTTTTAAGGTAATTTGCAAAATAAACTATTTAAATTGCAGTTTATGTTTTAGCAAGAGCTGCCTGATTTCACTGAATAGCTAAAATGCATACATGAAATTAAAATGGAGTGAAATTGTCATTGCTTAGTTAAATGCTTTGCTATTTGGAACAGCATGCTTATCTTAACTGTTGTACCCTTTGACCTTCTTCAGGTGTCTTGTTATGCTTGATAACCTTGGAATTTTGAACTAAAAATTTATTCAATCTATGGGGGTAGATTGTTCTCATTTCACTTTCCATGCTTAGGGGATATATCATATCAGTCAATACTCACCAGTCTTATTCACCTTTGTGTTGCTTGTCCATTTCTTTTGCAGAATCAAAATATGTGACTTTTCAGCACTACCACAAGGGGTTGAACTCACATCTGCCAGGGAACCAGATATGTTTTCACTAACATTTTAATCCACTGAAAAGTCATTCTAACACCTAAAGGCTTGAAATGTGAACATAACAACCAAGATGAATGTTCTAGTCTAAATGATAATTCCTCATCTCAAAAATTCCAACATAAACTGTTCAACTAACTTGCAAAAAGCATTCCAGTTACTTGCATCATCAAATTTTATGCTAAATGGAAACCAAACTTTTAGCTCTAAGTTATAAATGAGACACTACATGCAATTTTTTATTAATAAATGTTTAACTCCATAAACTTATTGCGTTTCAATAATACAAGCCTTATTAACAGTTTCTTTGCATGTATAATGTATTTATTTAGTGTGATTTCATCAGTATTGTATATTTAAACACTAAAGTGTCTGAATTAGGATCAAATATGGATTAGAATTCAACAGAATAGTAGGATGAGGATCAAATAGGAATTGTTTATAAATTTAACATGTTTAGCTTTTATTCAAGCTTTGTCAGAAATTAACTATGAAAGAGAAAGTTCTGGTATTTTTTTTTGTGTGTTGTTTTTCATTAAGTAGACTTCACATGTATAATACTTGTATATCATAATTCTGGTTGGTCTATGTGGGATTTGGTTAATAATGTGTGTGCAATGAGTGGGCATTTTATTTCTGTCTGGCAGTGTCCATATGTTGATTGGAGGATGTTTTGTGTGGGAGTGTATGTAGTTTTGGAGAAATGTATTTAACCAAAAAATGAATTTCAACTAGTGCCAAGCACTGATCAACTACAAGATTCCATACCAACAGCAATTTTTTTAGAATTTTTCTTTCTTCTCATATGTTAGGGTGGGGGTATTAATCTGTGATAATAATTATAGCAAACCACTTTAGTGACTGGGACTGTACATTCAGCATTAGTTTATGGCTAAACAAGATAACACAAAAACTCATTATAAGGATTATTTTAGATATTAACACTGCATATATTTAAAAAAAAATATTCTATAAAAAGAGAATTTAAAAAATAATACTTTTCTCCAAAATTATTATTATAAACAAATTTTTACGTGTTGTCTAAAACAAAACTATTATACAGGAATAAAGTGTTGCTGCTGACACTGGATTTTGACCACGGTGTTTACTTATTCCCCCACAAAAATGAGATGTGACACAAGGTCGGATTAATGTGGGAACCCGAGCGTATACACTCGGGCAGGGACAAAAATTCCCCACTGTCGGTTACGCTGACCTTGGTGCAAGCACCAATCCCTTCCTCTTGTGCAATGAGAGGGTGCGGCCTCGGGCAGCTGTTCCCTAGGGCTGGGCACCTCTCAGTATTATTTTCTCAGTTGCCCCTCTGTCCTTTGACAGAGAAGCCCCTGAGTGCACTGTGTCCAAGGACAGAGACGCAACTGAGAGATGATAAATAAAGCAAAATCCCTCCTGGATTTTGACCACAGATCACCAGAGAACAAACACAGGTGATGTCATTTTGAATAAATAGATCATGTAATGGTAAAGGAAATGTATATATGGAAATTAGCGTGGCATCTAAGTGATCACTCTTTCTATACTATTTCTCTATACTGATCACTATATGCATTACTATTCTGCTTAGTAATTGACTGAGTATTATTCAGCAAGTGCAAGTGTTATTTGAAGGCTTCTGACACTAGTATTGTTCAACAGCATTACTATAGTTATATCTCCAATTACAAAGTCTCTACTACAACAAGCATTACAAAGGTGAAAACAAGTATTCGTTGACATTACAAAAGTGGCAACGAGTGTTCGTTAACATTACAAAAAAAAAACAAACAAAAGAAAAAGAAAATCATATTTACTTCCATCTAACTGGGAAGAAGGAAAACATTTGTTTAAAGAGAACTTACTCTTTCATCTGAAACTGACTTTTGTAGTTTTGGAGACGAACAATCTCTTGATAGTAGGTCTCCATTTGAACTTTCAGTTCTTCAATTTTTGTTGTCTTCAAATCACTTTTCAGTTTGCTGTGATAAAACAATAAAACAATGGGTTTACATTGTATAATCATGCTAATGGTGATATTTGTCAAATAAATCAATCCAACAGTTAAAAAGCTGTAATCTTTCTGCATTTTCTCCTTTCACTATCCCAGTCAGTTGGAGTTTCAACATTTGACAACTTTTTATTAAATCCCAGAGAGCAACTAAGATATGCATATAGTTTCACACTTGATCAAAGAACATGAAAAACACTTCCACTCCATTCTATAATTTTTTTTTCTGATCAAGGGCCCATCAGGACCATTTCCACTCCATTCAGTAATTAATTCTGATCAAGGGCCCATCAAAATCACTTCCACACCATTCCTTAATTATTACTGATCAAGGGCCCATGAAAATCAATTCCACACCATTCATTATTTCTGATCAAGGGCTCAAGAAAATCACTTCCACTCTATTCTTTAATTGATTCTCATTAAGTGCCCTTGAAAATCACTTCCACGCCATTCTGCAATTATTCTGATCAGAATTATTTCCACTCCATTCCATCATTATTTCTGATCAAGTGCCCATTAGAATCACTTCCACTCCATTGCATAATTATTTCTCATCAATTGCCCATGGATATCACTTCCACTCCATTGCATAATTATTTCTCATCAATTGCCCATGAAAATCACTTCCACGCCATTCCTTAATTATTACTCATCAAGCGCCCATGAAAATCACTTCCACTCAATTCCATAATTATTTCTCATCAATTGCCCATGAAAATCACTTCCACTCCATTCCTTAAATATTACTCATCAAGGGCCCATGAAAATCACTTCCACTCCATTTCATAATTATTTCTCATCAATTGCCCATTAGAATCACTTCCACTCCATTCCATAATTATTTCTCATCAATTGCCCATGAAGATCATTTCCACGCCATTCCTTAATTATTACTCATCAATGGCCCATGAAAATCACTTCCACTCAATTCCATAATTATTTCTCATCAATTGCCCATGAAAATCACTTCCACTCCATTCTTAATTAATTCTAATCAAGGGCCCATTAGAATCACTTCCACTCTATTCCTTAATTGTTCCTCATTAATTACCCTTGAAAATCACTTCCACGCCATTCCTTAACTAATTTCTCATCAATTGCCCATGAAAATCACTTCCACTCCATTCCATAATTATTTCTCATCAATGGCCCATGAAAATCACTTCCACTCCATTCCATAATTATTTCTCATCAATTGCCCATGAAAATCACTTCCACTCCATTCCATAATTATTTCTCATCAATGGCCCATGAAAATCACTTCCACTCCATTCCATAATTATTTCTCATCAATGGCCCATGAAAATCACTTCCACTCCATTCCATAATTACTTCTCATCAATGGCCCATGAAAATCACTTCCACTCCATTCCATAATTATTTCTCATCAATTGCCCACAAAAATCACTTCCATTCCATTCTTAATTAATTCTAATCAAGGGCCCATCAGAATCACTTCCACTCTATTCCTTAATTGTTCCTCATTAATTACCCTTGAAAATCACTTCCACGCCATTCCTTAATTAATTTCTCATCAATTGCCCTCAAAATCACTTCCACACCATTCCTTAATTATTACTGATCAAGGGCCCATGAAAATGAATTCCACTCCATTCATTATTTCTGATGAAGGTCTCACGAAAATCACTTCCACGCCATTCCATAATTATTTCTCATCAAGTGCCCATGAAAATCACTTCCATGCCATTCCTTAATTATTTTTCATCAATTGCTCATCAAAATCACTTCCACACCATTCCTTAATTATTTCTCATCAATTGCCCATGAAAATCACTTCTACTCCATTCCTTAATTATTTCTCAAGGGCCAAAGAAAATCACTTCCACTCCATTTCTAAATTGTTTCTTATCAAGTGCCCATGCAAATCATTTCCACTTCATTCCTTAATTAATTCTGATCAATGGCACATGCAAATCACTTCCACTCCATTTCTTAATTATTTCTCATCAAGGACCCGTGAAAATCATTTACACCCCATTCCTTAATTATTTCTGTTCAAGTGCCCATCAGAATCGCTTCCACTCCATTCTGTAATTATTTCTGATCACATGCCCAACAGACGCAATTCAACTCCATTCCTTAATTATTTCTGATCAAGGGCCCATCAGAATCACTTCTACACTATTCCATAATTATTTCTGATCAAGGTCTCTTCAAAGTCACTTCACACTATTCTGTAATTATTACTGATCAAAGGACTTTCGAAATCACTGTCACTACATTCCTTAATTATTTTTACAGCCAACAGTCATAACAATCCTTTTCTATTCAATCTTCATGTTTGAAAACACTTTTTACTGCTCTGACAAATCAAGGAAAAATAATATTACAATTTTATGAGTACCAGATAATTAATAAAGGAGATCCGGAATTGAAATAACGTCTTCATAAAATGTTGTGAAGAATTGCACAATTTTAAGTTATGAACCACTGAATAAAATATTTGCAGTTTTCCTTTCTTGCTTTACAATTATTTCATATCATAAACCAACAATAAATCTGGTTCATTAATCTTACCAAGGAATGTTTTATGATTCTAAGATTCATATTGAAAGAATCCATCAAAGTTTTTGACACTTTGTACTACTAACCAATTCTAACAGCTACAAATTTACCAGATATATGTGAGTATAATATACAGTTTCATATTAATATTTAATACTGATAGAAAACACCATGTATAATAATGGTATAATATATACATATATATTATCCTGTACCATTTACACTACTCGGTGTCTCATGCCAAGTGCAATCTTCAGATTAGCATGAAAATCCAAGTAGATCTAGTGGGTTGATGATCAAATATTACATATGGCACAATCACTTGAAATAGACACATTTTCTCTGTTTATCTGCATACCTTTCAAGAAAATAAAGTCACTTACTTATAAGTATTTTCTTTGTCTTTTAACTGAGTCTCTAGTTTTAGAATTTTCTGTTTAAGACCATGAATGATCTGAGAAAAAGGGAAGAAAAATATTGGAAATGTTTATACATGACAGAAACACTGATATATAATTTATATACAAACTAGCAAGATTGATAGAAATTTTAAATATTACAGCAAAGCTTTCATTTTGGCTTTTCCTTTAAAATCTTTTCATGTATTTGATTAACGATATATTTATTTGTAATTTAAAAAGTTTACAAAATATTCCTTATGAAAATATTGTTAGCTTTACTTTTGGATGTTGAACTATTACAACAAAATCATTAATACACTATATCAGATTATTGAATCATTTTCCAGAAGTATGTTCATTTTTCCAGCTGGGCTGTTTTATATGTAGATTAAAGGTATTAGGATTGAAAGGAGCTTACTATGACATTTAAAAACATAATCTTTAAAAAATAGTACCCAAATAACAAGCTAAAATATACAGATTTTTTCTTTACAATTTCTATTCATTTATAATTTATGTTTACTTCAATACAACTTGACCAAACAAAATTAGTTTCAAAATTTAAGAATGACATAAATAATATTTAAACTTAAGTAATATCCTCACTAAATTTCCCTCTGCTAACTTTCAATATCTGCCATGAGTCCACTCAACCAAAACTGATGAAGAAGGCAGATATTGCAGATCTCCAACAAAATTATGAATAGAGGCAAAGGTCATATCTTCCTTGACAGTTAAGGCAAAGCTCTTCACCTCAATCTTTGCCTCGAATTCAATGTTAGATGACAAAGGCCATACTATTCCCAATTTCCCATGTCTCACTGAGCACAATAATGCCTGGTTTTCAAGAACATGGGTGAGTGGTCATCCCCCTCTCAGTATAGATCCAGTTAGTCTCCTCAGTATCATTAGCAAGGATCAACAAGAAGTTTATTGAGCACCTAGATAAGAACAACCTTGAGGAGTACAGGTTTCAATCAGCCCAATTGACTTCCATTACTTACAGAATCAGTGAGGTTCTAGACAACAAATGCACCCCAAGAACCATAGCAATAGATACACTTCAAAGGACTTTGACAAGCTGTGGCACAAAAGTTTGCTGCTCAAGCTCTCTAGCTATGGAATTACTGGAGGAGTTTTCTCAATTACAAAATCCTTCCTAATAGATAGGTCCCTGAAGGTAGTCCTAGGGGCCTCAGCAATCAACGCAGGCATCCCCCAGGAGGTTACTTCTTGGACCAACCCTCTTTTTACTTTACATAAATGATCTGTGTAAGGGTACATTCAGATCATTTGTGAATATCTATACAACAATATACGGCTGCACCTCCAAAACTCATGATGACCAGAGATTTGCAGCTGATCTCTCTTCTGATCTATCTCTGACATCTCAGTGGTGAAAAAATTGGCTGGTTGCATTCCATCATTGCTGACTGAACCCCAAACTACCACCAGTCACAATGAATGGATGTTCCCTTGGTGAGGCCCTGTGCCTTGAGGGCCTTAAATTCACCCCAGACCTTGTGAAACTCATACATATGCAAAAGATGCAAGTCCCTAAGCATTGTACAGGGTGAACCTCACTGAGAAAAAAATGTAAACTGAAACTACATTATAGGTGCTGAAAAGTTCTCATCCTGGGCTATTTCCAAACTGATTAAATGAACAAACATCATATTTCAGTAACCCCTTCTTAGATGGGACAGGAACTTTTCAGTACCTCAAAAAATATATATATATAAAATTTACATCTTTCTCCCTAAATATATATACTTACTGCAGATGAACTTGGATGATGATCTCTCAATGTTCTGTGAAAATCTTCATGCTAAAAAAGAAATATACGTTTTTGAAAAATAGATGAATCTTACTTATTATAAAACGCAGGTTGTGTGTGTGTGTCTGTAACGTTTATATGTTGGATCGAATTTCCTACATTTTTTAGCCGATTTCAACAAAACTTCACAGGACTACATAAAATGACCTTGTGGTGGTTCTAATGGGGCCGAAAATGGGAAAAATACAGTTGTTTTTTAATAAAATCAATTTGAAAACACGATTAAGACACATCGTGAGAATGAAAGGGGACAACTCACCCACGAAAATGTAAACAAAAGAGCATAGCATGATGAAAAAGGCGCTTGAACTTGACGAAAAACAAAATTTTATCGTCTAATGTTCATATTGTTATTAAAGAGGAAAGATCAAAGTATTTTGGGGGTATTTTTTACATTTTTTAATCGTTCCTAGCACGTCTGAAATTTTCGTTAAAAATATTTTTTTTTTGGTCAAAAAAAAGGGCAGATAATCATTTTCAATCATTTTTTTCGATTTGATAAAAAGATTAAAATCTTACTTTGATATTCTTTTAAAAGTTAATTATCATTTTTCAAAACTGATTTTAATAAAACAGATATTATACTGTTTATTTAAAATATTTTGAACCAAGCTTAACTTAGCTTCTGCGCCGAAAAAAATGTAATTTGAAAATAAAACAAAGCAGGTCATAACCTTTCGCGTCGCTTGACGATTGACAAAAAGGCACATTCATGACGTTTAGATAACTTACGGGAGGAGAATTCTTTCTACGGATGGAAGGAAGTGAAATTATTTAAGTGAACAAATTATTTACCTTGTTACTTTTAAGAAAAACTTTCAGCGCTCTAATTTTTTTATTTATTTTTTTTTTGTACTTAGCTTTCATTTTTACGTTTTTATGCTTTATGGAAAATATAAAGAAATTAAAAAATAAGACTGTTAATAGTGAGATTAAATTTCATAAGAAAAAGGTATCTAATTAATTTAGGTACCTTTCTTATGAAATTTTATCAGAAGTGTACATAAAATACTATAATTTTATGTACATTTATTACATTTTACTGTGTTATTTGTATTTCCATTCATTTTATTATTAATTTTGATATTTCATTTATGGAAAAATGTCATAACTGAGATTAATATAAAAATAAGATCATATAAATTAAAGTTTAGCAGTAGTTAAATTTCATAAGATGATACTGTTACTTGTAGGTACCCTTCTCAGTTGAAATTGAAAACTCAAATTAACTTCTCCATACGTGTTTCGCAAAAGTAAAGGGCTTGCACACTTTTTTCTTTATTTACATTCAGAATGCTTTAAAAATTCCATTTACAAGACAATTGTTTATAATAAAATTCTATTCAATCAATAGACTCATAACAATTGTAAACAATGTTTTTGTTTGAATTTGGGTTTGACCAATTCGTGTAAAAAAAAAAAAAAAAAAACTAATTAAGACATGCGTGTCCGTCAACCTTAAACAATAATCTTTGTCAATTTTATTTTTCAGTCTTTATGATGGTCGATACTTGATCTATCTCTTACTGTTACATCCCCGGGCAACGCTGGGCTCTACTGCTAGTCATGTATATTAAAGCATATTTAAAAAAAAAAAAACTTACAAATCTGTAAATAATAAAGGTGATACTAGTTATGGGGGTCATTCAAAAAGTTCTAAGCCTCACCCAGATAAAGTTGGAGAAACAAGACAGTTTTTAATTATTTTTCAATATAGTCTCCCTTGACATCAATGAATTTGGTTCAACAATACTTAAGGATTGCAATCCCATCATCGAAGAAGGTGGTGTCCTGATCTCAAAAAACTCCTCCACAGCACATATAATCTCATCATTGTTTCCAAAATGGCAACCATGCAGTTTGGATTTGAGTTTGAGAAATAGGAAGAAGTCAGATGGAACTAAGTCTGGTTAGTAAGGTGGGTGGGGTAGCAATTCAAAGCTACTACTTCACCTAGTGCGACCTGAGCAGTGTGAATGGATGTGTTATTCTGGAGCAAAAGCACACATATCCTCAGCTTCTCTCTGTGTTTTAACTTTATTGCTTCCATCAGTTGTCATAATACTGATGCATAGTGCTGTCCATTAATAGTGATTCCCTTTTCCAGGTAGTCTATCATGATTATGCCTTCAGAATCACAAAAAAATAGAAGCCATCACTTTGCCAACAAGCACAGCCTGATTGAACTTCTTTGGGGGTGAAGAATCAGACTGTTTCCTTTGAATCTTTGATTCAGGTTCAATGTGGTAAATCCAGGTTTCATCTGGAGTTACTAATCTGTGGTGGAAATTCTCAGGGTAAGCCTGGAAGTGAGTCAGAAGTATCCTGGAAATATCAACTCTTTTTAGTTTTTGCTCTGGTGTCAGCATTCTTGTGATCCTTCTTGCAGACAGCTTGCTCATCCCCAAAATCTCAGTTAAAACAGTATGCACCAAACCAGAAATAATACTTGTGGACTTTGCTATCTGCTGGACAGTAAGATGTATGTCCAAAACCATGTGGTGAATGGCATCAAATTGTTCATCAGTGGTTGAGGTTTTTGAATAAACTGATGAAGGGTCATCTTCCTTGCTGTCCCTGCCCTGCTTGAATACCACATCCCACTTCTTCACAGTAGCATAGAAAAGGGGATCCTCAGCAAATATCTGTACCATGTCCATTTTAGATTTTTCACACACCTCTGACCTTTGTATGGGCTTCACCTGCACAGAAATCAGAATTAGTTTTTCTAGTTTTATAAGAAGTGGTAGTGCATTGTCACAACAAAAATGTTCAACTATGTCTCTTCTTTCTAGTTGAGGCTTAGAACCTTTTGAATGACCCTCGTACATAAAAAAAGAAACACTCAATAAAAATATATCTTATTTATTCTCAGTGATTATTAAATTGTTTTTGATACCAAAGTGAAACTTAAGAGTAAAACTTAAAATTAAAAAGATAAAAATTAATACATTCACAAATTCTGTAGATTTGAATTTACAGCCATATTGGAATCACAGACTGTTATAGTAATGTAAGTAAAAATTAGTGTTATAGTTCATGAATTGTTCTTTCTTTTATTATAGAAGAAATGTAATATTTATTATAATAAATTTTACTTTATTAAATATCATAAGTTATTGAAGAAGTAGTGTAATTTAGACAGGATGGAATGACTTAAAAAGTAGGTAACAAAATTACTACTAACTGTAGTAAATAATCTTTGTACTTGGATAGGTTTATCTAGTAATCTTGAAACAAAGTGAGGCAATTTTTAGATATATCTTTATCTTAAATAAAAGTTTGTGTTGTTGAACTAATGGAAAATTTAGACATTCTGTGGCCTAAATATCATGGTAGAAATAGTTAATCAAAATATATGACTAGTTTTGAAATAAAAAACAATCACCAAAAATTTCAAGAATTAGATTGAGATTTTTTTTAATGAAATTTACAAAATAATGCAATTATTTAAAGCATTTTTTTGCATGAAGTTTTCAATAATATGAAAGGATTCAAGCTTAATTAGATATTCTTTAAAATTTTAATTGGAAAAATATTATTTAATTCCTTTAATTTGTACATTCCTAAAGTTCTGCTAGAATAGTGTCCATTCCTGAGAATTTGCTTTGATTTTTCAACTTCTTAACTTTTGTATTGATATATCACCTTATTTTTTCTTAGTGTCTATTCTATTGCTCACTGGTGTTAGTTTTGAGTTTATATATTTCTTCATATTACACAGTCTATCTTTTTACAATTGTTTCTTTTGCAAAAAGTCTGAAACTTATTTTAAATAGGCTTGACTTGATTCACTGAGATTTTGTCAAGTTTTAGTATGTACAACTCTACTTTGCTGTTACTCTCTCTCATCCTGTATCATGCTCTAAAATAGGTCAAGAGCAGAAAGTCTGCTTCGAGCTTGTGCTTTAAATATTGCTTTGATCTCAGGGTCTATTGTTGTGTTCATGTAAAAATTCTAATATACTGGCTGTTTTATTTGACGTTCAATGTCTAAAGTACCATGTCATTACTGTCTATGTTAACACCAAGAAAAGTTATTGTTTATGCTAGACATATTTCTAAGGCATGAGAATGTAGTCAATTTGATAATGCACCTACTAACTGAGTGCATGCCATGTTATTCTAGTGATTTGGCATGGAAATAGCATATTAGCCAAGTTGAGGTCATGATTTCTGGCAAATTCTAAAAGATGTAGTTCTCTGTTGTTGGTTTTATTCCAAATCACTCCCTTGGTCATGCATATCAGTTCTAACATTAGTATTCCAGTTTCATAAAATAATGAGTAGATCTTTCTTTGCAGTTTTCCCAATGATTTCTTCATTGTAAAACTCTACAACATTTTCATCATTATAGTTCTGAATTTTTGAAGGTGTCATTTTGGAGATTTAAATAAAAATGCAGAAGATTATGAGCCTTCTAAAGTGTAAACTGCAGCTGATCCATTAGTTTGTTATGTTTTTGTTAACAATGAAGCTTATTTCAGGTTAGTGTTTGTAGGTTTCACCACTGTAGTTTATGACCTTTCTTGGTCATCATTTTATTAATGTCTGCCTTTTTTACCTCAGCTAGTTGATAGCATATCATGAATATCTAACAAGCATATGAGTAAGTTTTTCTGAAAACATATAGTGTTTAGATATTCTATGTCCTAATAATCATGTTTTTCTGGAAAGGCCTTTAGTTTCATGCTTCTTGCACTAGTAACATACTTATCATCTGCAAATATTGCAGAGTCATTGATATTCCAGGCTTCAACAAACCTGGCATTTTGTTGAAATTGTTCATCCAGTGTCATGTCTTTTAGTTTTATAAGTGTTGTCGGTCTGCAACTGAAAACAGTAGTCGACCATCTTAAGGCCTTTGGTTCTGGATTTATTCTCACAGTTAATATCTGAAACTTTCCCTATAATTGAATATGACAAAGCAGTAGTGGCTTGAAAACAAGGTTTTCTTCTCCTAGATTGATTACCAGTCAAGGTTAGTAAGCCCCATCTATGCCTAAAGCAATAACTTTTAATAAATCACTAATCTGTGTTTTATCTTTCTCCTGTCAATAATGTTTACTCTATCATATAACTGTACCAGTAGAGAGAATAGAACAAATTAAGTTGAATATATTTCTTTTAATTCTTTTGACCTTGAAAAAAAGTTAAACAAATTTAAATAAAGTTATTAATGTATTAATAAATACTAACACATAACATCAGCCATAAAAATAATGTGGAAAAGGAGAAAAAAAAACATTTATTAAATATTACCATATTTTATTACCCAGATAGGCAAGAACTTCCAGTGTCATCTATTTAAGATGTCAGCTATCTATTATGAACTAATTAAGTCTCCTGCTATACAGACTTATTGATTAAAAATAATATCAATAGGTTTTAGTGTTTATGCATTTGTATAATTTGTTTTGACCAAAGGTTTTTCATGAGTAATCCTATTAAATGATTAACAATAAAGACATTTTTGCTGTGCAAAAGCATGTAATTATGTTATAGAATGGTATTTTTTATTAAGTTAAATAAGAATGTTATTAAAGAGCAGTCAAAAACAATAAGAATGAAGTATTGCTCTTCTACATATAATCATATACTTTATGAATCATACTGTTACATTGCATTTTTAAAATCATTCAATAACAGAACTATAAACAAAATAAGCTACATGATTTTAAAAGGTTACTAAGATCAGTTATATTCTTATCTTAGAGAAAGAAAATTATCTACTAAACAATAATTTGAAATTTTGTTTATTCTTTTTGTGAACTTTGTAGTTGTAAAAGTTTATTAATTTATCAATATCTGATAAATGAATACAATATTGTTGTAAATAACAATAATTATCATTTATTTGATCTAAATAATATGAGTCAACTTAAAAATTAAAATAGTAAAAAGTATGTAAATACTGAATTCAGATTACTTAGGATTTTATTTGGTATAGTATGTAAATCATAAGAATATTATGTTACAACTAAAAATAAGAAACTAAAATGAAAGTTAAGCAAGAGTTGTTAATAAAGTTCAGTTATGAGGAAAGAAAAATAAAGAGAAAATGTTTAGATGAACAAGAGTGCTTGTAAGCAATTTCATGATCAAATGAAGACAGCAAAAGATCCTTACTGAATTCATTATGTCAAGAATGGTTCCGGATTGCAGACAGGGCAGGAAATATTTTTTGATTCAATACTAAATCATTTGAGAAATGATTTAAATGCAATTTGTATTTAGTGTTTTTGCACATGCATTTGTGGAACAGAGAAAATACTGAGTAATTACTCTTGTTACTGAGCTAACAGATTAGTGGGTGGGATCTTAAGAGAATAAAATATATCTTTTTATTTAACAATGTGGGGATTATTTCATGATATTGCTGAAAAAGGCTATTTTAGGAAAATTTGGAATAACACTTGGAGTTTTACTTACCTTTCCTGGATTTAATAAAACACTGATTTCTTTTTCCTGAAAAACTCAAAAGGAAAGAAATATGAAAAAAAAGATGATTTTTGCACATTCTACAAACAGCAATGTTCTTTCAATAATTTAAATGACTGCTTGTAACAGTGAAATGAAATCTCATTATAACAAAGTAGTTTTAGGAAAACAAAATCAAAATCTTTTTTCACTACAATGTATTGAGTTGGAACAAAAAATTGCAGAATTTTTCAATATTTTTAATATTTCACATTTGAACATTTGATTTTGTTTAACATGTGACGGAAATTTGACATATGTACACATTTTGAAAAGTGACATTTCAACGCATTTTTCTAGATGATTCATGTGTAGATTGTAAAATTTTAAATATTTTTTTAAATAAGTGAAAATGTAAAGAAATGAGATGCATTTTCTTCATTTCATACTCTTATTTCTGGAAAGGAAAAAATGTGATAAAAAAAGAGAAGATATGTATCATTTTTGGAGATATGCACAGAGAACAAAATTTTGTAACATCTCTATCTCACCAAGGGAAGTTTATAGACTTATTAAAAGCCTTGACTCTAAGAAGGCCACTTGTCTGGATAAAATCCCAGTGGTTTAAGAATATCAGCGCGTAGTTATCTCCAAACTTAGTAAAACTTTTTGACTGCTGCCTGAAGGAGAGATGCTTTCCAAGCCTATGGAATATGTCAATTGTGTGTGTACTGTTTTTAAAAATGCAGATTAACGCTCATCCCTATCACAGTTAGCCTCCTTAGTGTCACCAGCAAACTATTTAAATTTATAATCAACAAGATGGTTGTTGAACACCTCAAAAGGAATAACCTCCTAAGCAATAACCAGTATAGATTATGCTCTGCTAGATCCACAACTGATATCTTAACTCACCGAATCAGTGAGATGCTAGACAATAAATTCATAATGAGAACCATTGCCTTAAGACTTTTGACAATGTGTGGCATCAGGGCTTGCTACATAAACTTTCCAGCTACGGAATCTCTGAAAGGGCTTTCTGAATTATCAAGTCTTTCCTACCAGATGATTCTATATCATCCTTATTCCCTTTGTATTCTTCATCTAGGGTTAATTATTATCATCTTTCCTATCTAACCATATAAATTGCAGTATTTGTCTACTCTTATGCTCATACAGTAACCCACTAATTTGAGTGGCCCTTGGGTTTTGTATTTGATGAATATTAGTATTTTAAAAACATATGCCATAGCTGAGAGTACTATTGTAAATATTACTAAGTTCAGAAGTAGAAATATTGATCTGGAAGACTGAGAATGTTCTGGTAGACCCACAATCATTGATGATGACCAAAATGAAATGCTGATTGAAAATAATCCATGTTACACAAATATGGGATATTGCAGATACCCTACATATCCCATATGAACATTGTAAGGCATTTGAAAAAAACATGTGAATGCTATAGTGCCTCAATATTAATGGAAAAAATGAATGGAGTGTATTTCAATTATCTGCTCAAACATAATAAAATCAATCCATTTTTGGAAAGAAAAATTACAGGTAATGAAAAGTGCATTGTTTACAACAATTTGGAGTGAAAAAATTCATGGTGAAATAAAATGAGTCACCATTAAACACTCCAAAAGCTGGTCTGCATCTAAAGAAGGTAAAACTGTATCTGGTAGGATTAGAAGGGCATTGTGCATTACAAGCTCTTTCTGCAAAAATCAAATGTTGAATTCAGACAAGTACCATTCCAAACTGGATTGATTAAAAGCAACAATCAATGAAAAGCTGATGGAAATGCAAGTGGATTATGTCTCAAAAATAAGTCAATAAGATGCTGATCTATTACAAAAGCTTATGTTGAACTGTCCAAGTCAAGGATACATATGAGCAAGGATACATATGTTGATTGAGAATAGCCACAAAAAAAAAAAAAGAAAAAAAAGAAAAGACTCCTGCCAATGTTCTTATTCCACTAATGGCAGTGGTGGAGCAGAACAAGGAAAAATTCAACCATTGAAAAACTACAGGGAACTCAACAGGTACATTTACAACTGATGCTGATGTGCAAGTAAGCTGAAAGAGTGACATCTTCAAAGTTTTAACATTTCTTTTGTGGACAGTCAACTGTCAGGCATGAGTTTATAAATCACTATGGCTATAGCAGACAATGAACCAAACCCTTTATTTCATCCATTGATTGGTAGATTGATCTAGTTCCACATGCCATGCCTTTGAAATTCCAATCACCCAAAGAAGGCCAGAGCGTACAACAGCTGAAATGTTGTGAATATGGCAACGAAGATGAGGATAACAGTCCGAGTAGTGTAAATAATGCAAGTAATTATAGTACCTCATCTCAGAGATATAGTATAGACAGATAACAGATTGGCATTGGATATATTCTACTATGGCAAAGGCCATTATCTAACACCCGCCAAGTGCGGATACTTGCATATTTTTCTGTGTTTTTCAGCTGGAGTCTGTGTTCTACAAGCAAGGTCTGCTGTTTGAACTCCTCACTGACAACATTATGTTCTGCATGTTTGGTTGCAAAGGAAAGGAACAAAGGAAGGATTAAGATTTCAACATGTATTGGTCAAAATTCTGAATATGGTTGGTTAGCCAAGGTCACAGTTTATGTTAAGAGAGAGGCCAGTGATGAGGTATTTCATGGTATTTGTGATGAGGCTGTAATGTTGAAGCTGAAGTCCTGGGGATTTGTTTTGTGGACTGGATGTGTTGCTCGGAGCCCCTATGTAGAAGATGAGTTTTTTTATTTTGTTTTCTTGACTGCAAACCTAAATTATGACTTAATTTAAATCTGATTTGAGACACATTTTAATACTAAAAATGTTTTCAAAGGCGAACAACTTCTTGCATAAGCATATTTTGTATTTTACATGTCTAGTGAAATGTATTTGTGAATCAGAAAGAGATCCTGATTAAGTAGTATAACATGCAGCAGGAAATTTGTGACTTTGGTAGAGGGGGTGGGGCATGCACTTACATTTTCAACCCTATAGGAAATTGAATAGTGGAACACTGTCATAGAAGACCATAGCAAAATGCAGTGTTTCTATCCAGAAAGCAATATACTGATACAACCTCACACCCAATTGCAACTGCAAATTGCTGAAGGGAATTGATATAAGACCAACACCAGAATTCAAGACAGAGAATGTGGCCTAGAAATAAAGGGACCCTGTTTGTATAAAAGTCCTGCAAAACTTTAAAAAACAGTATAATTTGTTTTGTATTTATTATACATTAACATTTTTTGTTGTTGCTGCATCTTAATAGAAAAATAACTTTGAAAACACCCCCAATATTAGAGAGCAAAGAACATTACATTGAATGGAAAATGAGCTAAGGATATGGAAGCTATTTACAGATCTTGACAAAACAAGGTCCAGCAGTTTATATTACCTTTATTAGACATGATAGAAATTGTTTTAGACACTGGAGGATATTTCATACAAAAATGATATTAAGAACATTACCAAGAAACTGAACATGCAGTCTTTGAAAGACCAAAACACATGTGCATATTTGGACTTTAATGAGTTTTACAACTTTTATCATCCATTAAGTATGAATGTAACATAAACTTGGAGTTTTTAATGTTCAGTTTCCAGGAGTGCAAGCATTTCTTTTTGTTGATGGCTGTAAATGTGTCTGATGAAAATTAGAGGTTGGCTCATACAACTTATGCAATTTGTTCAACTATGACAGATGAATACATGAAATTGATCATGACCCAGTTGCTTCAGCTGATAAAAATATCAGGAGTAAGTGCATTGGGTGAATAGTAAACTGCAGTTGACAGAGTCTTTAACAAAGAGAGGTACCTCTACATAGAAATTGTCAGAAGTACTTGAAAGCTCAAAACTGAGACATTAATAAATCATTTATCTAACATTACAACTTTACAGGAGAGCTGCGATGTTGATATTTTGGTTACTTCCATCTTGGAAGAGGAGGGATTACCTGCCCTTGGAGCAACTGGACCTTTGCAGAATATGGGCACCACATTTTGAATGAACTCCGACTACACACTTGAACAACAGCACATCATTTAAGAGCAGATGGGAAACTGAGCAAGTGAACCAAACAGCCCTCTGGAAGCAAAAATTCAACTTGAGATGAAGCAGAGGCATAAGAAAAACACCCACCCACAGCCTAACTGAGAAGCACCTGACAAAAGTGGTCACATGTTGCTTATATTTTTTGCCGGGCACCATATTGGTGAAAGTGAGGACATGGATATTAGAGGCATGGCTTATTTACTTGCATATGCAATTCACTTCACCTAATAAAAACAATGAGATTGTTTGGGCAGGCATTGTCACTTCGTTGTACTGGGAAGTCATGCAGCAATAAAGACAATGTGAAAGAGTGAGGATTGGAATCTAACGCTATTACAAACCAAAGGTATAAATTCATGAAATTTGTTTCTTACAAGATGATTTTATTATTCTGCTAAGGAATCATACTTTTTTCTATCTGAATTCTGAGATGAAGAATTATCATGATTATGCACTAATCTATATATTGTCATAGTTGTAATGTTTCACCCAACCAAGATATTGTACCTCTTTCAGTTAACCTGCTAACTAAATTGTTCTTTTTCACTAACCATGCTAAGAGATATCTTGCATTAGTAAATTTTTCTTAATAAAAAACTACCAGTGTGTGACTTTCACAATCTGACGCATGGATTGAACTCATGACCAAGAGATCACTCAATACACTTAGCCAACACCTTTACCCACTAGGTCATTGTTCCAATTTGGTAATAGAATTTTAGAGCTTGAAACATAATGTCTCTTCTTTCCTTATGAAAGGCAGCCATATCATGTTCAATTCTATGTTTGATTTGTTGTGGTATTTATTGATGCTTAGTTTGTCAGTGGATTCTTTTTTTTCATGGCATTAGCAGTGGAATGAGAACAAGCTATTCTCATGGACTGAATAAAGAGTTTGGTTTGAAACTTCTACAAGGTTACTGAATACAACAAATGCACAGAGAAGATTGAAGGGTAGAACAGATGAAACATTGTGGCTCTAACAACCAAGATGAGGATAATACTTTGAACAGATCACTAAATAATAATTATACTTTTGTTACTTAAAAAATTCAAGTTCAATTTATTGTCATTGAATTTAATATATCTAGAAACAAATTTGGGAGCAGTCATATCTGGTAATGTTTTGAAGATAGAGTTTGTGCAACCCTCATCATATTTAGTGGCCAAAAGTGTGGTTTTTGTTTCACATAAATACTGTAATCTTTTATAATAAATTGTAATTTGCTATACCCAGCATTCTAGATGCTCATATGGCTTCAATAAATTTGTATTTTTTTTATTATATTATTTTTAATATTATTATACTGTTTCAACAATATTCAAAATAAATAAACCAAGTAATAATTGTTGCATGAAGATCATGTGTAAGTAATCTTGCTTAAATAGTTGTTTTGTCATGGAGCCAGAAACCACACAAATATTATCACAGTATCAAAGACTGTATATGATCATTTTCAGAATTTATTATGACTTAATTTAAATCTGATTTGAGAGACATTTTAATACTAAAAATGTTTTCAAAGGAGAACAACTTCTTGCATAAGCATATTTTGTATTTTACAATTTTGTCGAGAGAATGGTACCTACCATTTTCTTCTTGATTAATGAAATCCCTGTCTTAACCATCAAGAAGTAGCTTATTGTATTTTATTATTTGAATACTATGTCAATCAAAACATGATATAAATGATATGACATTTAATCCAAATAAATTAAGAAAAAGTAATCCGTGCAGAAGCCTGCTGGTAATAACAAACCTTTTTTTGGTTGTCTTCTTCCAAACGTCTGAGCTTTGTTTTTATAGTAGAGTTTTCTTGGTTCAATGCCCCAATTTGCTAAAAGTAAGATAAATAATTGTAAGTAACATACTTCAGTTCTTGGTATTCGTTTATAATTAAAATGATACTTTAATCAGCCGAATTATTAGATGAATGCATTTGATGTAGCTAGAAAATGGAAAATCTATTAGCCTTTTTATATATATATATATATATATATATATATATATATATATATATATATATATATATACACGGAGTGTGCGATGGATAAACTGTAGTCTAAATTACACAAAATGAAAATAACACTGATATCTCATTTTAATAGATATATAACAAAATTACACAAAAATATCTTGAAATACTAAAGAGTAAATTTATTCAATAAAATTGCTATTGGTATCAACCTCAGCCTCCAGACAACTTTGGAATCTCCTGCAACAATTCTGGATGGTTGCCTTGTTTCAGTTAGTAAATGCTGCTGTAATCCTTGCTTTCAGTTCATCTTTTGTGTTATGAGTTTTGATGGTCTCTTGCCAAACTGTGCCCCATGCATAATAATCAAGGAGGTTGCAGTCTGGAGTGTTAGGCGGCCAGATGTAAAGGGTGATGTGGTCGCAGAAATTGCCTGACAGCCATGACTGTGTTTTTCTACTTGTGTGCCATGATACAGAATCCTGTTGCCAGACATAGGGTCTTCCAGCAACCACCCTCTTGACCCAGGGTAGAACTACAGTACTTGATGTAGGCCTCCATGTTGAGTCTGAAGCCCTGTGGGAAGATGAATGGAGGCATAATGTTGCCATCACCTTTGTAATCACTATTAGACTTATTCCAACTCTTTCAGATTCCTCTGCACTGTCCTCAAATTGACACTCAAACACTCTGAAATGTTTGTATTGGAGCTTCTGGCACAAATTCCAAGTATTACAGCATGCCATTTCCAAATTTCTGGCAGAAATTGTGGTGCTTTTTTTTCACAGATGGTGCCCAACTGTCTGGCCTGTGGGTTGAGAAAAGAAAGAAAGGGTCCAAGATGGCGTCCGTGACTTTTTAATATTCACGGTCTCATGCAGTCTCAAAAAAGTCGCGTTACACGCATGCTAATGAGGTGTGTCTGGGCTCCATAAAAGCAGGTCGCTTGGAGAAATTGGCAGAAGGGCATTACACCTGTGTTCGGGTATACATTGCTTTTGTTGTTGCATCGTGTCAGACATTTTCCCACGGAAAGAGTTGCGTCCCTTACACTCCATATTGAATTTGACTCCTTTGCTACAAGCTATTTTGGCCATTATTACAACATGGACAGATTCGACGGCTCCCCCGCTGGCCCGTCTGTGGTCGAGTGGTGGGAAAAGGCTGAGCAGGTCTGCCGGCTGTGTAAAGTTAAGGATCCCGCGCTGGTCATCCCTCTGAGGCTCACCAAAGTAGATTACGCTGTATATCAGCAGCTCAGGGATGACGCAGACTTGGAAGAAATTAAGCAGGCTCTATACACAGCATTCGGTGCGGACCCATTTGTCGCCTGGAGGCAGTTCACCGAACGGCGGCTTGGGCCAGATGAAACAGTAGATGTCTTTCTGGCTGATTTGAGGAAGCTGGCCGCACCGTTCGGTGGAGCAAGCGACCAAATCCTAGGATGCGCCTTTCTGGCAGGACTCCCAGACAACGCCAGTCGACTGCTACGAGCATCGTCAAGGCTCAATGAGCTGGGGCTAGACGAGTTACTGGCCAGAGCCCGGAATATTCTGAAGGACGACGCGGAGCCGGTCTCAGCAGCTGCGGAAGCACCTGCACCGCCAACTGAGGACACAAGGTGCTATAAATGTGGCGGACTGAACCACTTCTCCAAAGACTGCCAAAGCCGAAGCGGTGCGAAGGATACGCATAACCGAGGAACACGGAGACGTATGCGTTGCTACAGGTGCGACAAGCTGGGCCACGTAGCAAGAAGCTGTCCGGGAAACGGGCAAGGGGAGTAAGCTACAGCGCCAGCCTTCTCCCCAGATCGCCGCTGAACAAGGCGCTACCCGCAGTGAGCGTGCGGATTAACGGGCGTGAGCGCTTTGCGCTTGTAGACACCGGGTGCACCCAGACCCTTGTGCGCAAGGCATGTTGTGACACGTGGGACGAGAAAAAGATTCCAGTTCTGACTGTTGGCGGGGCTCGCTAGCCTCTTGTGGAGTGAGCGTCATCCGCGCAAGCATCGGCGATGGGCCTGCAGTAGCCGTACAAGCCCTGGTCGTGGACGGAGAGCTGCTCGGCTATGATCTGCTCCTGGGAATGGACGTCATCAAAAAATTGGGTGGCGTCCATGTTGACGAAGAGGGTCGGGCGCATTTCACTGAAACTGGTCTTGCTCTAGGTGCAGCAATGGAGCTGGAACGGCCTGACTTTCATGCGGAGTTCGACCAGCGCACAAAGTCCTGGACGGTATCCTGGAAATGGTCGGACGATCAACCGCCAGAGAAGCTGTACAACAGTGTGCCGGAGTATAAAATCCCCCCGCGAGCTTGTGCGGAATACGACAAGGAGTTGCGAGCCTGGATTAATAACGGATGGTTGGTTCCTTATCCAGAGAAGGAATTGGGGCCCCCGAAGGGCCTGATCCCGCTAATGGCGGTTCTCCAGCACAACAAACAAAAGGTGAGGCCGGTGCTCGACTATCGGGAACTGAACGAGCACGTGGACCCTTTTACAGCCCACGTGGACGTGTGTACCGAGAAGCTAAGGGAATGGCGACAGGCGGGATCAAATGTATCTGTGCTGGATCTTCGCAAGGCATACCTTCAAGTGCGTGTGCACCAATCACTGTGGCCCTATCAAACTGTGCTTATCAAGGGGCAAAGGTATTGCCTGACCCGCATGGGGTTTGGACTCAATGTGGCGCCATCAATTATGCAGATGATTGTTGACGCCATTCTGATGAAGGATGAGCGCATACAGCGGGCAACATCTGCATATATTGATGACGTGTACGTGAACGAGGGAGTCATATCTGCGGCGCGCGTGAAGGAGCATCTCTACAACTTTGGCCTCCTCAGCAAGGAACCGGAGAGGCTACAGGATGGTGCACAGGTGCTTGGTTTGCAGGTCTGGGGAGAGGATGACGTTCTGTATTGGAAACGGGGAAACGAAGTCCCAGACATGCCCCCTGTTGTCACATGGCGAAGCATATTTTCCTTGTGCGGCAAGTTAGTTGGGCACCTTCCTGTAGGTGGCTGGCTGCGTGTTGCGGTGGCGTTCATCAAGCGGAGAGCATCTGACGTCACCACTGGATGGGATGATGAAGTTCACGACGCCCCTCTCAACACCATGATGAGGGAGGTCCTCGCTAGAGTACGCAAGGAAGACCCAGCGCGGGGCAGATGGTGCGTTGACAGCCAAGACCTCGGTGTGTGGGTTGACGCAAGCTCTCTTGCAACCGGCGTATCGATAGTTCACGATGGAGCTGTGGTGGAAGATGCTTGCTGGTTACGTCCAGAAAAGGACTCCCAGCACATAAACCTAGCGGAGCTCGATGCTGTCATCAAGGGGATCAACTTGGCGATCCTCTGGAAGTCGACCACCCTGCGTCTGTTCACAGATTCCGCTTGCGTCTATAAGTGGATCTCGGATACCCTTACCGGGAGGGCCAGGGTGCGGACTAAAGCCACCAGCGAGATGCTTATCCGACAACGGCTCGACACGATCGTGAAGCTGGTGCAAGAGTACGCACTGACAATGGAGGTGTCCCTGGTCAAATCTAGCCTCAACAAGGCAGATTGTTTAACGAGGGTGCCCCAAAGGTGGCTTGACGCCACTAAGAAAGCTATTGAGCCCATGCAACCCGCCTGCGCTGCATCCGTGAGTCCCGTTCGATCTAATCAAATCAAAGAAGTCCACTAACAAAGCGGGCACCCTGGAGTCAAGTGGACCCTGTATTTCGCCAAGTTGGTTGACCCAGGAGTACAAAAGACAGACGTCAGGAGAGTGGTCAGAAGCTGCGTGGCGTGCCAGTCTATAGACCCAGCACCCGTTCGCTGGAAGAAAGGGCAGCTGAGCGTGAGGAGCCACTGGAGCCGGCTGGCGATAGACGTTACTCACCACAATGGCGAGGATTTCCTGACGCTCATTGATTGCGGTCCATCTAGGTTTGCGATATGGCGGCTGCTGCGTCGGCAAGATGCAGCCACCATCATCCGTCAGTTAAACAGTATCTCCCTTGAACATGGCCTCCCAACGGAGATATTAACCAACAATGGCACCGCATTTACCAGTGAGCAGTTCAGGAAGTTTGTGGATGGCTGGGGAGTGCACCTACGGTTCCGGTGCGCCCACATACTGAGTGGAAATAGGATCATCGAGCGGAACCACAGGACCGTCAAGACCATCGCAGCCAGGACGGGCTGCGCGGTGTCTGAGGCGGTCTACTTGACCCTGAGGGATGATGTCTCACCCTCTACGGCGCCAGCCGACACATTGCATAGGTACCACATCAGAGTGAAGGGCATAGAGACCAACCCGCTGCCCGAACTGAAAGTAACCGGAGAGAGGCTGAAGAAAGGAGATGTCGTCTGGATTAAGGACCCGCGCAGCAAGTGTACAACGAAATACGGAACCAGACGCGTCACTGAGGTGATCAGCCCGCAGGCGGTGCGGGTTGACGGTGTGCCCCGTCACGTTAAGGACCTGCGGCCGGCGACGCAGTTGCAACCACCGCTGGACGACGAGAGCGAATCGGAATCTGAGACCAGTGAGGCATCGCTCTGGTTCACGCCAGCTCCATCAGGCAGTGACTCAGATATCAGTAGCCTTCCAAGGGACGCGGTGTTTTTCGACCCTCAGACCGCGGACGGGAGCACAAGCGACGATGAGGCTCGCAGCGTCCCTCTTTGAAGAAGCACCCGGCAAAAGCGATCGCCGCCTCCCTGCCAACTCTGTGATCATGAGATCAGGGGGAGTGTGGGGAAAATAAAAATGGCTTACCTCCCAAACGCCCTCGCGTCTGTCTGGCCTGTGGGTTGAGAAAAGAAAGAAAGGGTCCAAGATGGCGTCCGTGACTTTTTAATATTCACGGTCTCGTGCAGTCTCGCAAGGTCGCGTTACACGCATGCTAATGAGGTGTGTCTGGGCTCCATAAAAGCAGGTCGCTTGGAGAAATTGGCAGAAGCCATTACACCCGTGTTCGGTATACATTGCTTTGCGTTGCGTCATGTCAGACATTTTCATACGGAAAGAGTTGCGTCCCTTACACTCCATATTGAATTTGACTCCTTTGCTACAAAAAAAAATCAGTAGTTTCTTCTTGAATCTGTTTAAAACTTGAAATAATTTAAATATAAATAATACAATTTTTTCTAAATAATTTTCTAACACCAATGAATAGAAAAACAATTATCAATTGAAAAAAAATTAAATTAAAACTTGCAAACAAAATGAAAAATAATTTATTCAATATTATATTCAGGCTATTACTTTCATTTTTGTTGTAATGTTTTGTTTGATATTTTCTCACATGTCTGTTGTACCCACTTTTTATCGACATATGCTTAAGGAAGGCTGAAGAATATATTTGTTGAAACATTGTGTTAATAAAAAAAGACAAAAATACTAATTAAAAATAAGTTCTATGAAATAATGAAACCACTTCACTTCAGAACTTTCAAAATATATTTACCATAAACACTGTTGCTGTTCTCTTTAATCAGTTTTCTTTCTGATGCTATGATTTTCTTTTATGATTATTTCTATAATAAACCTTGAAATTTATTACTATATTTTTCCTTTAAGCTTCCTCTAAATATTTATTTTCTGGACAGATTTGAATTACTATTTTGTTAACTTTTTTGTAAATGCTGTAATTGGAATAATAAATTTAATTATCTGAATCTTCAGTTTTGACTTTATATTTATATTTCTGATAATTCCAATTACTTTTAATTAAAGCATAACCGTACTACTTCATGTACATATATTAACCTTAATAGGTTGTTGTGAAATAATTATATTCCTAATATTTTACGTTTTTAGAAAAAAAGTATAAAATTTCATAAAAAAGTGAACAACATATAATAAACACACCTTTCTTAACTGAAGTACTTCATCATAATACTCTTCTTGTGTTTTGTATGCTGGAATCCCTTGGGGTGAACGAGCTGTGATATAAGAAATGAGAGATGGAGATTATTTAAAAGGTACATATTTGCATAATCCATGATATCATAGGTAGGATTTATTAAATAAATAAATCAAAACTTTCATTTAAAATTACTTATACAGTCCTACTGTAAATACTAAAATATATGCAGGAAGTTATGGGAATAGATATGAGGAATTCCATGTCAAATCAACAAGGGTTTGACCATCACCAACACAAATCTTTTTCAAATTTGGTACACTTATAGAGGTTCATGATACAAATTGAATAGCATACATCTCTAGGTCTAGTTCCAGAGATATGACCCTTTGACCATTTCAAAAAAGGTGAACAGGACAATATAGAATTTAAACATATTAAGGGATTTATTACAGCAATCTATGATAAAAATTGATGGTTAGGATGTGTGTTTGAAAAATATCCTGATAATGAAGAGGTAAAATTGACATTTCTTACAACCGAAGGATCCTTCCTCATTTTTCTGTTATCCGCCACATTCAGACATATTAATTTTAAATTATTCTGGTATTCTTAGTTTAGTTGATCCAATAAATGACACTGGAAGAATTTATAAATTTTCAAAAATTGAGATGGAAAAAAGCTTCAAATATTTTAGGAAAGGGAATTTCTTGAAATAACCTTAAATAAAAATACAATCAAGGTTGGTCATCACAAAAGATTTGAGTGAAAAATAAGTGGCTTGCATATCTAAATTGTTATTTTCTACCTCATCATATATTCCAACAGGCTGAAAAATAAATTTGCTTGTTAGTCTCTTTGTAAGTGTAAATGTTAAGAATCTTTTTTTAAACATTCATTTGAATGTATCATTTTTTTCAGATCAAAACTTAAGTGTATATATAAAAAACATAGACAAAAAAGCTAAAAAAAAGTTACTGTTTTGTGCATTTAATATACCAAGTATAATGTTTAATATTTAAGTGTAGTTTTAACATTAATTCATGACACTTTATTTTCATTATATCACTTTTTCATATAAAAAACTAAAAGTTTTATAATAGAAATGTAAACAAAACTAAAAATAAAGTTGTTTATTTTCAACTGAATTGGTCAACATTTGACCAGAACTAACACAAATTCCATTGATTTTATGACCATGGTTATTATGTTAATCAGCATTCAAAGAGTTTTCTAAAGATATACAACTTGACCATATTGGGAAATATAAAAATGTTAGCATAGAGTGGCAGATGCCAAAATACACCATTTTGAATTTGGCCCAACTCAGTTCAAATTATTTTATTTGACCTCTAAACAAAAGAATAAATAGATCACATTTTAGATCTATCCAATTACTTTAAAATGGTATGTATAATTAATTTTAGCTTTGTAGGTAAAAAAACAAGTGAGATATTGATATTTAAATATTTAAACTTTGTGACTATTTTCAATGGGTCATATCTTTAGAACCATTTGAAGAGATGTAAAATAGGCAGCAATCAATTCATATCATGAAGCTGTATAAATGTACAAAATTTGAAAAATATTTGTTGGTGATGGTCAGACTCTTGTTGATTTGACATGGAAGGACTCATATAGAGAATATAATAATTGAAAAGGTTAAGCATTTAATAATCTATATTTAATAAAATATTTATTTATGAGCCATACCTAGATTGTACATACTTGCTTCCTTTTCTAGAAGAATATGTAAAAGCAAGCTCTTGTTGAGTGTTGGTCGTTATGCAAGAATGTGAAGCTTGTTCATAGAGCTGTGAATGAAAATCACTACAACATTAGAATACGTTACTTCGAATTTAATTATTTGAAACCTGAATTTTGAAATTTTTTAGAGTAACATCATAATTTCTCAGGTGTAATAGAACAAAATGAATTCAGGGTAATTTTTCTACTAATGCAAAATAACAATCAGCTTGTTATTGTGCAGTGATACAAACAACCCACTCTGTTGTTAGAATATATTCACAGTTTATAAAAAATATTGAAATCCATTTTGATATGAAATATGTATTTTATTTCATATAAAAAAAAAAAATACATGTACCTACATTTTTGCCTTTGCAACTGCCATAAATTTCATGCATCATACTTATTATTAAACTCAGGTTGTGTGTGTGTGTGTGTGTGTCTGTGTGTTTATATATTGGATCAGATTTCTTACATTTTTCAACTGATTTCAACAAAACTTCACAGAACTACGTAAAATTACGTTGCTGTGGTTCTGACAGCACCAAAAATTGGAAAAACACAATTGTTTTTGCACAAAATCAATTTGAAAACACGATTAAGAGGCATCACGAGAATGAAAGGGGGACAACTCATATCGAGTTATACTTATTATAAAACCCAGGTTGTGTGTGTGTGTGTGTGTGTGTTCATTTATATATGGGATCGGATTTCCTACATTTTTCAACGGATTTCAACAAAACTTCACTTTTTTTTTGGCAGGTAGTGTTTCTTATTGTCTTGCACACTTTTTTCTTTATTTTTACATTCAGAATGCTTTAAAAATTCCATTTACAAGACAATTGTTTATAATAAAATTTTATTCAATTGGTAGACTCATAACGATTGAAAACAATGTTTTTGTTTGAGTTTGGGTTTGACCAATTCGTAAAAAAAAACAAAAAACAAAAAAAAAACCTAATTAAGACATGCGTATCCGTCAACCTTAAACAATAATCTTTGTCAATTTTATTTTTCAGTCTTTATGATAGTCGATACTTAGTCTATCTCTTACTGTTACATACCTGGGCAATGCCGGGCTCTACTGCTAGTAAAATATAAAATACAAAAAAAATGTTGGCAAGGGCATAGATTAAAAAAAAGTTTGATTGTTGTTCACCAACACATTTAAATAAACCTAAAGATGTCATAATTTATTCATAAAAAAAAAACTCAAACAAAAACATGAAAAAAAAAACCTCACAAATTTTGTGGTTATAACCATTTTCTCTTAGGTTAATTCAAAAATAGCCATGGATATATACAAATCAGAACTTGCCTGGTGTGAAATCAGACTTTCTAGGTGCTTTTTCAAAACCCATGATTTGACGTAAATATTTAGAAGTGCTGTGATATGCCATGGTTTATCTTGTTTGCTTCTGAATTGACACCTGTAGATTTATAACAAAGAAAAGGTTTTTATCAATTCAAAGCAATGTGTCATACGGATATTTTCTTATAAAAAAGAATTTTACACAAATCAAATAATAATGTATATAATAATATACATTTTATGTGTGACATAATCAGAGCCAGTGCAAGGGTTTTATGCCACACAATCTATGATACAGAGCTCTATTACATTTCAATTTTCATAAAGTAGTGTTCATGTGACACTATTATGAAGGCGTTGGTAAATTGGGAAAAAGGCTTTCAAAACAAACTGGAAAACAAGAAAGAAAACAATGTTTTTTGATAGATTGAAAATATACTGATAAGAAAGATAAAGGAGAATTGGGTGGGTAGATGTTTTTTTCCTTCCTTCCCCCACCTCGGTGTGTGGGTGTTGACGACGACTAGCATAGAAGCCATCTGTACTTGTTCAACTTAATCTTAAGTGATGGTAATTTTCTTAAGTCCTCACTTGACCTGCATGATAGACTAGATTACATTTTAATGACTTCAAGTATCCACAACAGCTAGGAATGAATCTCTAGCCAAAAGGACTTGGAAAACAGGGATGGCATTGTAGTTATATTCTTCCTTTGTCTGCCTAAGGTGCAATAAAATTTACTAAGAGGAATTGTCTCTTTTTGTCACTTGTTGACCAAAAAGCTGGTGTGGAGAAGCAACAGGTAATGAATCCCAAATGTAGCTGACCACACAAGAACACGTTAAGAATTCCCTGCTGATGGAAAATTTGGATGATAACTAAATTTAGCAAGGTAGAATTTCAAGGAAAGCAAAGGAATCACCTGCACTCTTTGGGTGGTGATGGTGAGAGGCACCCACATAAGATGGAAGGAGTTGGGCCGATCAATATTCTACCACCCCCACTCTTTGGAGGAGGGATCTTCCCAAATTTGGTCAGGCAATCAATTTCCTAACTACCTCATGCCCCACGCCAGGTTTATGCAAAAGTCCATAAATATAGATGAGCAAAGTGAGACGACAGTATGGGGCATTGAGAGAAGAAGGAACCAGACAGTCCGAATTGCGGGTTGCAAGAGAGACACATGCCAGTTGGTTCAAGACCTACTTTGCTGAACTCATGAAGCTTCTTCTTGTTCCAGACTACCAAATACACCTGAATGGTCAACTATTACAGAGTGGAAGAAATCAGACTTCAGCCTTGTGCCAGTTTACTAAGCATAGCTAGGCATAGTATCACGAAGCATTAAGGGGGAAGATGTTAAAAATCTGCATGTTGTTAATTTAGTGAGTAGAACATTCAATGTATGAGCTTTTGATATAAAGTTGTATTATACAGCTGTCTCTTACTTTGTCCCTTGTGATGTCATCTCGCCAAAGCTTCCGGATCAGCGACATTGAGTATACAACTTGGCCCTCGCCCGTCCTGTGATCTAAAACAAACACAACGTGAGGCAGGGTGGGAATTGAAGATCAAACAACTAACTCCAAAGTTGGCCATAAGGATCGACCACAGACTCGCCCAGTTACTAAGAATGGGATTGTGATGTCATATTCATATAAAATACAAATTTTATTGTAACCTAATTATGTATAATAATGGATCATATCCAACTAATCATAAAGCAACTAGAAAAATTAAAAATAAATACAATTTGAGACAAATAAATCAACAATGTTATGCAGCAATTTTTAACATCAATTCGAGATTTTTCTTGTTAAAAAGTTAGAATAATTTTAACAGATTCAACATTATGGATAAAAAATAGGGAATTTTATGAGCAAAACAAATTCACTTATTTCGATGGAAAAAAGACACTAAAATGTCAAAATCTGCAAAAAATTTTCATTCTTTAATAGTCAGTTGTGCTTATTTTAATTTGTAATGTAAATAAATGTGGGTAGAAAAAAGGAAATGTTGATCAGATAGTGAGGATCACAAAGCACTGCTTGGGCTCCCCAATCAGGCTCCCACCCCTCCTGCTCAGGGGGTTCAAAGGTAGTATGTCCCGGTCCAGGATATAATGTAAATAATACTCAAAAAAAAATTTCTTCTGTTGAAATTCCATTAAATGCTATGCTATAAATAATTCCAAATAAGGGAGTACTGAAAAGTTCTTGATCCACTTCCCGAAATCTAACTCAAATGACATCAGAATTTTTTTAAGGGCTTTTTGGTTAGGCCAAGATATTTCTGCAGCCCCTTCTATTTTCATAAAATAAACTTCACAGTTGATTTTTATAATCTTTGGTGTTAAAAAAAAAAAAGAAAAAAAAGAAGTCAGTTTCTATTAGCTGGATTGAAGAAACAGATTTTCAAAGAACACTATCATATGAGCTGAAAAGAGAAAATTTAAATTATGTTCAAATACCAAGTCAGCTGTGAGCTAAAGATGAACAGAAAATATTTTTTTGAAATATTAAACAGGTAACAGAAAGATGAACTAAATTCTAAAGGATAGATTCAGCATCACTAATGATTTTTTAATATATATCAGTTTTTTCCAGGAACCTTTCCAATTGGCTGCTATTCAACATATTTCTTGCCTACTAAATTTTAATACTATTCTTTGTCATATTACAGTTGGAGTTTGTTGCATATATTAGAGAAAAAAATTATTTTCTTTCTCTTTAGTAATTCATAGCTAAAATAATTCCTTTATCTCTAAAAACCTGATGTGAGATGCAATCTTAAAGTATGTGCAGTTGTTCAACAAATTAAAGGATCCTACAAGACCAAATATATATAAACCAAACCAGCCTGAACATCTGAGAGGTGAAACAGCATTACTTTAGTAAGGTTGTTTTTTTATCTTTTTAAAATAATATTTACAAATATTGCTCTATGAACAAGGTATTGAGCACTTTCTAAACTCTACTGGAATTAGTCAATTTGGGAGTAGAATTTATTCCATAGTTGATTTATACAATATTGATGTCATAAATGTTCTTGGGATTGCTAGTGGAGTGTTTTTTGGTTGTCTTCTCTACATTGTTTTTTACTAAGACACTGCCTCTAGTTAGCTGGCTGCTGATTTAAGAGTCTCTTTCACCCTTTGATAGGTGTTTTTTTTAAATTTTCTATCCTGCAGGGTTGCTAACAACCTGTTTCACTCATAATAAACTGGAGTGAGAGTGCCACTTTAGTCAACAACAATCTGAAAATAGATTTTATATACCAACCTGAAAATAGTCAACTTTTTGGATATTACATTCAATCTATCAAATCATACCTTTAAACCCTTCCATAAAGTTGATCAAACACCCCTATACATCAACGTCCACTCTAACCACCCTTAACATGTGATAGATCACATCCCCAAAACTGTGAATATGAGAATTAATAGGCTTCTTCTAGCCAAAAAATCTTTAATGATAATAAATTTATATACAATCAGGCCCTCAAAAATAGTGGTTTTAGACAAGAATTAAACTTTAATGGAGAACTTGTAAATCAGAATAATAACAGAACTAAAAACAGAAAGAGGAAGGTAATATGGTTCAACCCACCATATTGCAGGCTCTCTAACATTGATATAGGAAGTTTCTTTCTGAAATTAATTGATAAACATTTTCATAGTAAACATCCACTACGTAAAATTTTCAATAGGAAGACACTGAAAATAAGTTACTCATGCGTTAGAAATATGGAGAAAATCATATCTTCCCATAGTTGTAGAATACTTAGAAACTACCATAGTAATGAAACTCAATCTAGTAACCCTACCGGCAATAGTAGGAATAAAGACCATTGTCCAATCGGGGGTAAATGTAAGTATGAAAATGTAGTATACGAGGCAAGTATCTTTCCCGAGGAAAATATAAACCAGAAAAAAAGATATATAGGTATATCCACCGGTGATTGGAAGCAGCGTCTATACAACCATAAATGCTCATTTATATATAGATGCCTCAGAAATCAAACTTCCTTATCCAAACACTACTGGGATCTGGTGGATAAGGGACTAACCCCACTTTTGAAATGGAGATACTTATTAAGAGCTAGAACACCTAATAACTCCCGCAATCGGTGTGGTCTGGGCATGGCGGAAAAATTTTTATTATCAAAGATAAAAATCAAGATGAACTGCTGAATCTTCATAATGAGATATTTTCTAAATGTAGACATAAGAAACGATTCAAAACATAAACACCGTTTTGTAACATGTTGTCACTTATGTCAGTTCCATCTTGGTTCAATAACATCGGGCATGACATTTTAATGGAATGACTATTATGTTTATTATGTTTATCTCCATATATATCATTGTGTATGTTTATGTGATGCGCTATGTATTTTATTTTTTTTTTGAGACCAAATTTTTGAAATTTTACTTTTTTAGATTTTACATTTTAATTTATATGTATATATATATATGTGCGTAGCTGTGTGTGTATGTGTGTATATGTGTATATATGTAGGTGTGTATATAGGTATATATATGTGTATGTATATATGTATATATATATATATATATATATATATGTATATTTATATATGTATATGGATGTATGTATATGTAGATGTGTTTATATGTGTGTATATTTTATGTATGTATGTATGTATATATATATCTGTATATGGGTGTATATGTATGTATATATGTATGTATGTATAGTTAGATGTATAGATATAGGGATACATTGTTTATTTGTTTATATGGGTGTATGTAATTGTATGGAGATGAAAGGTTTTATGTATATATGTTTATGTGCACGTATGTGTATGTCCATATGTATATATGTGTGTAAATGTGTATATATAGGTAGGAGTGGATGTGTATGGATGTATGTGTATATGTATGTATGTGTGTGTGTATTTATGTATTATATGTGTATGTGTGTGTTTGTATGTGTATGTATGTATATGTATGTGTGTGTGTATATATATATATATGTATATGTATATATGTGTGTATATATGTATATATATATATATGTATGTGGGTAC